CCACTAGCATATGTAAGGTTTCTGCTTAGTAAACACAAACACAAAAAACATTATTTTGTCTTCATAAATCTTAGTAGTTAAATGTACTATTAACTGCCCAGTTTCAGATTACAGTTAAGTAACCTGTCTAAGTCACCTCATGCTATTATGGGTTTGTATTCACTAGAACTTTTAGGGTTAGCTGAAAAGTTGTTGGAGGTCATTCACTTTCTTTGAAGTTTTCCAGGCCAAAGCACTAAAAATTTGTCAATGAGTGAAGAGTTAATTGTGAAACAGACAAGGCTACATTTCAACTGCAGCAATACCAGACCAAGGATGTATATGACAGGCATGCTTCTTCTTATCAAAACACTTCTCTTTCTGGAAAAACATTCAGCCCGGTTTTCTAAATGTATTCACATTTGATTTAAAGAAGAAAAAGAAATGTCACAGATGTGAATTTGAAAAATTTTAAGGCCAGTCTTGAAAGCCACTGTGCACAGAACGAATAATAAAGGTAATAATAAAGAATAATTTTATTAAGGCAGACAAATTTGAAATGTTCAAAAATTCAATTATGCTTGACATTCATAACCATATCCAGATTGAAAGATGTAACATGCTATTTTGTTTGACAAGCATCAGGCAAAAAATAAATAAAATTGCTTTGTTAATTTCACCAGTGAATGAAAATGAAGCACAGAGACAGCTGAGCACAGATACTACATTTTTTTCAACCATCAGTAGGGATACATTTTCAAAATAAACTGTACATCGTTGGGATATTAAAATGGAAAATGGAGGGCTCCGATTGCTAGTACGTTGTTCAACAATAGACACCAATATCCTTTTCTGAGTTTTGTTTTCAGTTCCAGCTTCAGAATGAAAGTAGAACTGTTTGTCTGTGTGGAATCTACTGTTATCAATATCCTGTATGTCAAAGGGCTCAGGGGCACAGAGAAAAAGCCACCTTCTTCTGAAACTGGGCAGCACTGAGTTTCCCCAGTGTGGTTCTGATGCCACAGTTGCCCATGAGTGGCCCTGACTGAGCATGGGCAGAGCTGCTCTCGCAGATCCGTATTACCTGTAGCTTGCTCACCTGTATTTGAAGCTACGGGTTAGGAAAAGCACATATTGGGCTGGATTAAGACAACTTTATAGTTCTTACTGCTTTCCTTTAATTTATACTTTCACATATTAATAGTTAGAGCTCATTAATCCCAAATCGGACCTCCAATGCAAACAGGAGCTCATTGATTTGATTGTGTTTCACAGAATGATTCTACTAAAGGAGCTTAGATCTTGGGTGGTACTTTCTCTGCTGAATTCAGAACATTCGGTGTTTTAATAACATCAGGTCAAGTCAAAGAAAAACCTTTTCAGACCACTCTTGGAAATGTAAAAACACCTCGTAAAATGCGATATCATAAAATACCACAAAATAATATATGTATCTATTCTAATTAGTAATTCAGTCATCTTAAAGCAGGTACTCTAGTTTGGATTTCATGACTGAGAATGGCCAATTGCAAAGTTGCATTTCATTTGCTTTCTGATACCACACTAGAAAGTTACCTACTAAATAAGCTCAGCAACACTTTATGTACTGGTCACATTTTAATCTTTCTTTTAGCAAGAAATGCCGACCAGTAAGGATGTGTGTTGACTTTGGTGTCCTGATGCCTCTCTATCTTAACTGTTGCCAACTTTGTTATATCAGATTAGCATAATATATAAAGTATCTCATAATATATAACATAGCTTGACTGAAAAAAGAGATAAAGCTGCCTCCCCTCTTCTTCAGAATGTTCTGGAAAGGCTACGCGGAAGCTTGAGAAAATCATTAAACCCTGAATTTTCATAAAAAGGTTTGTCTAATTGAATTGGGGAAGACTGCTTTAAGGTTAGTAAAGCACTTACATACTTGTTCATGAGCTGTGCTTTGCCATAGTGACTGGTACAGGGTACAAGGATCATAAAGAAATGTATGGATGAAACCCAAACAATTAGCCTTCAGAAACACTGGTCCTGTTCCTTCATTCTCAGTATTTGTCCTGCTGCTCGGAGTGAAGAGCTAGTTTGACTCATACCAGTAAGTTTTTACGAGCTTTTGATTAATTAAAATGGCTGTTTTCATTATTTTTTATTATTAATCGTATGGTTTCATGTAAGAAATAAGCAACTGTTTCAGAAAACAGATAGTGTTTTAGAGATGGTTTTCCAAGCACAAATGTGCACTTCAGTTTGCACTGCTGCCTAAATCAACTCTATCGGCTTCAGTGCTTATAAACATTTAAAATTGGTGAAATGCAGATGTGAGAAAAACTGTATGGATTCAGAAAAAACAAAGGTCTTTTGTGTTGACAACAATTGTAAAAAAATTCAACACTACTTTTATGAATAATGAACTAAATAACTGTATGCTTTTGCTTATGAACATATTATAAAACTAAGCACCTTATGTATTATATAAAATCCGTATTTTTAAATACATTAAACTTAAACATAAATGTGACAACTCATCTCCTTTTACAATGTGCCCTATTCACTACTGTAGGATATTTAAAGCACAATATGTTAGATGACACTCCAAGCTTTTGAGAAGAAAAAAACTAAATTATACAAATATACCATTGACCTGACCACTCATATCAAGGATTAGTGCACATTTAAACATCCGCTAGTAAAGACAAACCCAGACTATGTGATAAAGACACCAGCCCTGTCCTCTTTGAAGTGTAATATTCATAACAAAGTCTGGGAACAGCTGCTGCTGTCACATCTCCTTGGACTTTTTTTTTTATTTGGCGAGTGAACAAACCGCATGATTTGTTTTAAAGTTATTTTTTGTTCTCAAAGTTGCTGAAAGCAACAGGAGGTTGTTTAAAAGTTTGCTCAAGAGGTTTCCCCAATGTCTATTAAAACAAAACAAAAACAAAAACAGCTGGTTCTCGTTCTGTTTGTAACTTCTGCCACTAAAGTGAGAAGTCATGGAAATCCCCCTGGTTTTCTGTGATATTGCTGAATGGTTGGACGCTACTCTGTAGGACCGATGGCTCAAATCACATCTCAGATTGCGTATCGCATTGGGTGCATGGATTTTCTCATCTGCATTAGCATGGCTGGGAAAGGTTTTGTGCGGTATGATTCATATCTACATTTCTTATGCTTCTGTTTTTTTCTGGTGTTGTTTATTTCAATGTAACATCAATTACTCTTGCATCAAGTTAAGTGGGAAAGTGCAGAATCAATGTAACTGGATGATGGACTATATGGACCAACGGACTGCCTGGGCAGCTGGTTCCTTGAGGGTGAAGAAGTCGGCAAGGGAGACAAAAAGGTTTCGAAACTACATGGCTGAGAGGAAGCAGCCCGTGGTAGTAGCTCTGTAAACATGTGTTTGGTGACAGGAGGTGCAGATAGTGAGAAACATGCCTGACAGAGTTTGAAGAACCCCAGGAAAAGGAATATAACCATGACTGGGTCAGGGTACAGTCTTAGATACTACGGAGCTTAGTAGCACAAGCAGTAGGGTTTGTGAAAGTGAAATTTGGTAGGCTTACAATGGGGAAAAGGAATGTATTGTCTTCCACATGAACATGGGAATAGCATGTTCAATATGAGCTAATCTAAAAGTTCTGGTGACATGACAATAGATCCTCTTCCACCTGTAGTGGCTGTGTGTCAATCTGAATATGCCATTTGATAATGTGTTCCGTCTCTCTGTCAGTGACAGTTGGATATACAGAAGTATGAAAAGATGAAAATGTAATGCAAACACACTGACTAGCAGCCTTCCTGGAATTAACTAAAACGCTTGCATTCCCACGAGAGATGCAGAGAGATGCTGTCCATCTAAGTGTCATATGAGCCAAGATGCAAAATTGTGCTGCCCAAAGAGAAAGGCAGCCTGTCGCAGGATGTTTTTTGTTCTTGCCAAGATGAGAAGCAGATGGCCCTGAACCTGGCGAACGGTTATTTTGGCTCAGCAGCAGATGATAGCAGGTAATCAAAATGCCACATCCTATGAAAGCATTGTCACTCTTCAGGCATGATTTGAATCAGTAAAGTCATCACCATGACTGTAGAACTGGGATCTATAGAAGCTGTGAGCTTAGGGCTTTTTAGATTCATAGGATTGTACATGAACAGATAAGGAAGACCAGATGAAAACAGGACCTATATAAAAACATAAGAATGGTTTCAAAATGAGAGGAGGCCATTTGACCCATTTGGTAGTATTTCAAGAAATGGCAGAATATGTCCTTCAACATAATGGCTGGATAGCTTGTTCCATAGTCTTACTGTCCTTTGTTGTGGGCATATACAGTATACACCACCTGGAAAGGGTATAAGGGATATTGGGACTCTGGCTGTCTGGCTGGGTTAAAAGGACACTTTTATCTGCTGGTCTGTGTTGTAGACTACAAGAAAAAGTGTGACGTGAGAGTACAGAAAGCACCTGACCAGCAAGTGAATCTTGAGGTTGTCAATAGTTAATGCTAGCAGATGAGCTGGTACTATAACTTATTGGGCAAAGGTGTGATCTCTTTATTTATATTGGAAATGTCATGTGATCTGATGTGCACCCACCCAGGCAAATGAAATAACTACAACTATCTGTAGTGTATATTTCCTATATTTATTATTCTACTGTGTATTGTGTTACATGTTTAAGCTGTGTATACAAGTTTGAGCTATGCATTCTACAGTGTGAATAAGGTATCCCATTTTTGCTAACATTCAGCTTGTGTATATTTTGTAGATGGACTCACACCCTTTTATTATTGTCTGTTACAGTCCGTGTTTATATAATACAAAATATTTGGACCCTTAGCACATTTTATTCTCTTCCTGCTTTATAAGAAAGCTTATAAACTAAAGGAGGTGATTTAGACCATCTCAGTCGTGATTCTAAAGTATCACAATATATCTACTGAGTCCTAAAGCAGGGTTTCAAACCCCAGTGAGACCATCTGGTTTGAAGTCTGGTTACTTCAACAAATGATGACCTTAAGTTAACATATTTAACATTTTATTTCTCATTATATGCAGTTAGTGATACAAAGCTACAATGCATTTCAGAGTACAGTCCAGATGAATTAATGGATAGACTGTGGCCTTATAATCATTTTTCCTATTACATCTGTGATAAATATTGTCCTAACAAATTATTTGTGTACAGTATGTTCACAGAAATGATCTCTCCTGTCCACAGCAGTGGAAATGGCCAGGAATGAAGTATGTCACATTATTTGTGAGGGCCCATGCCCATGGTAGAAGCAGGCCATGCCCTTTTGCTCAATACGGTATGCTGAGGAAAGGCAGGTAAATATAAGTGATGACACAAGAAGCATAATCTTTGAACCTTCTATGAGTTCAGAATTATCATGTGAACACATGAACTTTAAGATACTTATTTCCATATAATTCCTGTAAGAAATATATGCCTGTATCCATGTGCAAATGTAAAAATGATCAAATATAATTTAATATACAGTTAATATTTTGTATTTATCAATTTCTTAAGGACTCTAACAATATCACGAAGAATGCGTGTTTGTAATAATCTGGTGCATACCTTTAAACGGTAGCAGCTAAACTATCACATTCTTTAATTCCTTGTTTACTATGGAATCCTGTATAGCCTATCTAAAACAGAGTTGCAGTGTGCTGTGTTCGGGGCCACTCTGATTACTGATTCACTAGTAAAAGATTTTTATTCAAGAAAGATTCACAGTGAAGCTATGTCTCACACATAATCTTATTTGAGGTCAAAAGCCACTGAGCAATTAGGCTGAGCAATGAATGTACCCTCAGAAAAACGACTGTTTAAGTTAAGTAAATTAGAATAATATGGTTGTTGATAAAGAGATGTGGCTTGAATGGAATTAAAGTAAAAGGGAAATATGAACCTTACATTTACCTTTTCTGTTTTTACTTTATTTATCTTCAATGTTTCTCACAATGTTTTTTTAGAGCTGATGAAACTGTGTGTGTTTTCAACAGTAAACAAGAAGAAGGAACTGTCTGAGCTTAACTTTTAGTTCTCTCTGGAGCGAAGCTCTTCACAGGTAACAGTAGATGTACAGTTATGTAGACCATGCTGCTATTTATAAGACATGATAAATTTGAACGAATCGGGAAGGCATCCTCTTACCACAGGTGGAACAGTAACAAATGTAGTACAGTGAAAACATTAAAGTGAAATTATGTTGTGGTTAGTATGGTTAGTAGTACAATGAAAAACAATCTGGCAATAAAAAATCTACATCTTTCATGTATTTATGCACAATAAAATTATTTCTCCATTATTTTATTTAAATTTAGGATTGAATAATCAGAAGGAGTTACAAACAAACCACCTTCTGACATTCTGTGGCTCTGTGTACAGCATATAACAGTAGCAGCTCCTTAACCTACACACTCCAACAAAAGATAAGCCACTTTCGAAATTGTGTCTTGTCTGGTCCTAGGCAATACTGGCCCACAAGCTTGTCTTAGGGACCTACTGCATTCTTCACAGCTTCAGAATGGCACAGGGTCTTGTGATGATGAACATGGACATGGTCTGACCCATCTATCTGACTGTGCCCAAGTGCCATTGGACTCGGACAGTAACTGCTGTTGTTGAGACATTGATGATGAGCTCTTCAGTGTGTGACACTTCTTCGGGTGTGTCCTGCTGACAAATGGGTTCAAGATCAGTGCTGTTGTTAAGACATTTAGCCTACGTTGAAACAGACACTCCACCATACCCTGTATCCTGCCTCACCCAGCTCATGTCGTGGTAGTATGTGGAAAACAAGCCTTTAGAGTAGTCAGCTTGCCCCCTTCTGCACTGACCACCCCTATTCCTACCTCTTGATTGCCTTAGCTTTGGAAATCTGCAAATATGCACAGTGTGAGTACCCTTTATGCATTTCTCAATTTGTAAAAGCTAAGTGTGAATGTCTTTGTCACCCCAAGATTCAGAACGTGCTCTAGAGGCAGGATTTGACCCAGTATTAAGGTATTATCTTTTTCCACTAACAAGGTTCTGTTCATAGTCATCTCCAGCATATGTCATAAATCTAACGATGGGATTTACTGTGTTGTATTCAGTGTTAAGGAAAGTTACTTTTAAAAGTAATCCATTACACTTACTAGTTACTTGTTTAGGGTTTTTTTTGTAATCAATAATTACTTTAAATGATAAATTAAGACAGAAGAAATTGATTTTAGGAGGCAATAACTTAACATATTGACTATACACCCTACATACAGAAGATCACTGTAACATTTACTTACTTTTTACTTAATTACTTTTGATCACTTTTTTAAATTATTTACCCCATCTTAAAAAGTAATCCATTACACAATTAATTTGTCACTGGATTACTTTTTAAAGTGACTTTATCTATTACAGATTGCAGTTCACCTAACTAGACTTGCTTCATCTCAGGCATTCAGTTCACATTTGTAATGTGTATGATGGCAAATCCTAGTACATTTGAAAATAATTTAATCATTTATTTAGGCAGCAAGGGAGATATAATTTCAAATGATATCCTTGTGACATCAAAGACAAAGTTTTAATTTTCGGGGATGGGCAATTCTCTTAATGACTTTGATGCATATGCTACAATGAGTTGATACTTAAACATAATATTAAAGTTATTAATGGACTAAACTTGGCAGGGAAGATTTCTTTTATATAACACAATTAGCACCGAAAACAAATTATAATTTAATAATTTGTATCTACTGGGTGTATTACACGTTTCTTTGTGGGTACATTTTGATAATTGTAATATGTTGCCTTATGCAGCGTTGGGGAAAGTTAATCTTAAAAAGTAATACTTTATAGTTACTAACAAGCAAATACAAGTTACCTGTGTAAGAGTTTACATTTTAAAATTAACAAGAAAATGGAGGACATTACTTTTAGAAGATGATGCATTACTTTGCATTGTAACTGTAAACATGCTACATACTGTAGGTCATATAATGTTTTTTTCCTCCCAACCTCGTGTTAGTTTTAAAAACTAATCCTACTTACATAAGTAACTTGTAACTGTATTGTTAGATTACCTTTGTTATTAAGTTGTTAACTGCTATAGAAATCTGTAAATGGCTCTGTGGCAAAGCGTTGCAAAGGGGACTATACCAAATCAAACTATTGATTGAGAAGCACCTTTCATCATTAACGGCGTTAATATGGGGATGAAACGGTTAAAACTGTCACTGGGTGGTTAGAAGACGTAGTTGTCCTCAAATCTTTTTTTATGCTGCTCCAAATTTTCCCACAATTTAGCCCTAAAGCGCTCCCTCTCAATACAAAAGAGGAAATCTTTCAAAACTGCTTTCAGCTCAAGAATGCCTCTTTAAAAATGCATGGACCCACTCATTTAAAACCACTGTGAGCTTGGTTTTCCTCTCATTCCATATACCTGGGGTTCCTCGGAAAAATTAAAAATATTTTTCTAAAAACCTAGAATGTATCATAATGGGCCTATAAGATTATTATTCATAATAGGTTTTTGAATAAAAATAGTAATAAATCAGATTCTTACCATGGAACTGCATGACTGCTTCAGAATTATAGATGTTTATATGCAAGCGGGCACTTCATGCTAGAAACAAATATGCGTCGCTTCCACTACACTGTTGTTTATATTAAAGCGCAAAGCCTCTGTGAACTGTGCTTCAAGTTAAACACTATTTTGAGTAATCGATCTTGGTTTTAGTACTTCCTGCAGTAATTTGCGGCCGTGACTATTGATTGTGTTCATTTCATTCGCTCCCAGCCCTGACGCCGTTCTGTCTGCGGGGGCGTGGCCTCGCGATGAAAAGGAGGGATGAAAACACCGAAAATTCCTCTCAGATCCACCTTCTTGGGGGTCCCAGAGCTGTTTTTTTTTATGAATGAACTGGATGCCAGTGACAAATTAACCACTTTCTTTTTAGGAAAGACAGAAGACATATCCTAATAAAGTCCACACCGAAACAAATCAACAAATCGCAGCTCTGTTTCCCGCTATCCAGACTGGACAAAACTATCCAGACTTCATTTCCTCAAGAAAGGAAACGAAAGGAAAAGTCACACAAAATCTGTGCATTTTAATTGTCACGCCTTTAATAGAAAAGAGTAGGGTTGCCAAAACGGCACTTGTTTATTTATTACTTTCATGTTTACAATGAAAGCTGACCACTAGGGAAAACGAATCCTTTCGGTATAGTAGGACTCTCTTTTTTTGTCTGATAGCAAGAACAAATTATTTAAGCTACATTATATTTGGGGTTAAAAAATAGAGAGGAGAGAAAGCTTTTTTTTTCATTCCATCGCCATAGATTTTTTGGGGGAGAAAGGTTGTAAAACCCCCAATCACCCGCTTTCTGGTATTTAAAAACATCTTTGGCGCTATTGTATTGAGTGGAGTGAGTAGGGAGGGCTATTCCTCGTCGTTGAGCTGGCTGGTCAGATCGTGGGAAAGTGCCTCCACGTACAGCAGTATATTCTTTGTCACTGTTGTTCTTCTGTAATTGATCTCACTTCATGTCGATGGGCGGAATACTTCAAAGACACATGTGGCTGTTGGAGGTCGGTCTGCAAGCGCACGCTTTCAGTCACAAACGCACTGCTTACTTTCGGACTCCAAAAAAAAAAAAGAAAAGAAATCCCGTAACAGGAATTCTAGTGGGCTATATAAGCAGTCGTACCCAGAAATGGGGAATGCGTTTTTTTAGGGAAAAAAAAAAGAGTGAGACGCAGCTGTGGTATCGTGTATTTTTTCCCTTGTCACCAGAAATCAATTAAAACATTTTTTTAATTTAATTTCGGTTTGTCTATATGATGTCTTTTTTTCGTTATGATATCATGGCGACACTGAAGTCCTGTTACTGTTGTAGACTAAGAGGAATTTGATTGTTCGCTTTCTTCTATTAACATTTTAAAATCCTGTTTCCTGTGGATATTAATTCGTTTATGCATTTTAAAAACATATTCTTAATGTAGTAACATCATATTTAAGGGTTTTTACAGCTAGACTCTCTTTGTAATGAGACTTAACTATTCGTTCACGGCGCGATATTGAAAAATGCACGATTTGTTCAAATTAATGTGGTTAATACCAGGTAAAGATAATCTCACGAAAGCACGATGCGTATTTATGTCCAATAATTCACCTTGTAAAAATGTATGTATTCCATAATGTGCATTATTATTTCCATACAATCACAGGCAAAATATCATAAACAAAATAATTCCGTTATAGGAGCATATTGACTCTTATTATACAACATTTTAAGTTAGTTAAGTGCTGTATTGTTGTATGTACCAACGCGCGTATATTGCCTTTTCCTGCGTGATTTAAAGATTGTTTTACTTTCACCATTAAATAAGTGACCATTTTTTTATCGTCCGCTTTCTCTTTTTCTTTAATTTAGAACTACATTTTGCATACGAAAGGCGGATTTGCGTTTGTCCTTGGTGTATACCTACACAGTCCTTTAACTGTAGCCTATTATGAAATGCGGGATTTCCTGGCCTGTCTCTTTAAACCTGTTGGATCCCAGCCACTGAGATGAATGGTGCTGGACACGTGAGTTTGTCTCAATATGGTCTCTCCTCTTAACGCCGCAGAATTTCTCATGTTTTCTCTGGCTACGGTCCAACCTTAGTTTTTTTTTTCGCTGTGCCTCCTCCGTCTTGTGTTTTTTTTCTCAACCCCCTCCTCTGTTTTCCACCCGCAAGGAAAGGTGCTTTTTTAACCCATCCTCATTCAATCCGTGGGCTGGCCTCATAATTTTTACCAACCCCTGCAAAAAGATCTTTTTTTCCCCCCCGTAAACTCTTATAAACCAGCACTTATGATTTGTAAGTCACAGATCCTTTAAAACAGTGTGCATGCTCTTGACAGGAAAGTGCGGTGTCACCGTTTCATTTCAAATGTGTCCCGTCCCAATTTGTACCAATGGAATCTAAATTCCTATCTAGCACTGGCTTATTTTCGTATTAAAGCAAAAAAACAACAACAACCCAAAATACAGGAAACAAAAACAGTAAAAACAAAACAAAAAAGGGACATTTTGCGTACCAAATACCGCAACAGCACGTGCTATTCCCAGCATATCAAGGGGTTGAGTTTTTTGACTTGTCGGTCCTTTTATTTTTTTTCCCCCTGTTTTTGGTTTCGATCATCCTTATTTATTACTTTTGTGTGGAAAACTCCCGATTCTTACAACAGAAGATCTCCCCCTCTCGAGTTCCGCACCAGGACGTCCGGTGTGCAGAATCAGACCTTGTTTTAAGAGTTGAAGGTGCAGGAGATTACAATTTTGTAGAAGTCACCATGAGTGCACGGGGCGAAGCAGCCGGCCAGACTTCTGGATCCCAGGAGCAGCCCTCGACAGCAGAGGCTCCGAAACGAGGACCCGGCAGACCACGGAAGCCGCAGCAAGTCAGTCTGTTTCTTTTTCTTTGAATCGATATCATTTACTAGAAACGGGCAATTGTCACTGCTCTTCCAGCAGCGTCTTGGAGATAGAAGCTAGCCCGGCCGTTGAGCACCTATCGCCACTGTCTGAATTTCGTTCAGTGCGAAGATAATAGATCTGTGTGATTTTTAATGTAGTGCAGATATTTTAAAACCCGAGATCTTTAAAAGGAACACGCGCTGACTCTGAGGAATCCTGTCCCTTTAAAAGTTTTAAGAGAAGGTTAAAGCTGAAGAAATAGTAGAAGTGGTGGTTGTAGTAGTACATTGTGCTGGTTTCGTTACTGTTACGATCGGGTTACCCTGAACCGTCTATGTGACTGAAACGCTTTTTGGAATTGTTTTCCTTCACCTAGGTGGATCTTCAAGATTAAATCAGTGTGATATGATTTAAAAAAGTAAACTTGGAAAATATTTTTACATTCAAATACTGCTTTAATTGTAGTATTGATGTGTTCATTGAAGAAGATAAGTATTACTTTTGTTTTGACTGTGTAGATCCACAATCGAAACACGTATTACTTTTTAAAAACCCATTCATGTTTTATCTGTGAAAGAAACTGTGAAATAGTTAGCATTTAATGAATGGAGTATATAATTGAGTTCCTCGCTGTCCTTGCATTTTTTAAAACTTCTTGAATGTGGAAAATGCAGTATTTCAGTTTAGAATGGAATTTAGCTGTATTTGTTTCCATATTTTGTAATGCACAGATATGAGCTACCACTCTTCAGAGTAGTGTCGAGAAACTAGCTTCGTAATAATTAAAAGGTTATTGGTGTACAAGCAAATAAATTATGAATTAAAAAAATGTTGATTTCTAGCACATATTATGTTTATGTTATAATCGTTATCATATGTTATCTTAAAAAGCCGGTGCCTTTTTTCCAATTAAAATGCAGAATGTGCGGTACAAAAATTAAAATTGGCGCTTGAAAAAAACTTCATAGGGATTCGGACTACTCAGCTCCACCACATCCTGCAGTATTGGTAAGAAAAAAGCACAGTTATATTTTGATCTGCACATGTTTGAGAGCAATGATTCACCACCCAAAGGAAGTATTATATGAATCATACATATTTGTTTTCAAATAACTGTATTGCTCATTGTTAAAATCTAACATCATCATGTATTTACATTGAATGCCTTATCGTCTTATATGTATGCGTACAGCAAATGTTGGCGTCAGTTTGGGAGGTCATTTTACTTAGTTTCAGAGGTAGCTTCCTATAAACCACATTTTAGGTTGGATCAGAAAGGGGAGAGTAAGTAGTCCAGAATATACCTTTGAGGTATACTGTGAGCTATATGACTTTTAAACTAAATTGGTATTGTGCTGCGTTACCCATGTAGGATCCAATGGTTGAACTTCTAATGTTATTATTTGTGTACACTAGGTGTACAACTACGAGTTAATTCGCACGTTGCAGTCATTTTGAAAGTGGAGCTATGTCACTTTCTAAAAATGCTTTAAAATAGCATTCTGAAATCACGCGATCCTCTGCAATCTCAGAAAACTGCACATTCCACAATCTGTGGTGTAGTTTACCACAAAATACAGCATATGGTATTGACAACTATTCTGAATGTATGAAAACAAGACTCTAATAAAAATAAAACACGCACACAACACAAATATATAATTTGCATAATTTACAATGAAAATGCACTACTGCTGTAGAGGGTATATATGTGCTGCTACACAATGTTTTTTTTTTTCATTTTGTTATAAAATAAACGAAACTTTTCGTATGTCAAATTTCTGCGCAAGGGTGATTAGTAATTTTATTTTAAAAACATTAGAACAGGTTTAAAGAAAACTTTGTGACCTTGAATGGATATGAAACCTTAATTTTGATTTTAAATGTGAAAGCTTCTATGGTAATGATAATATATTTTTTTTATTTATCATTTACCGTCTCGGTTAGTGTTTTAAAAGTTTCTTTCAAATATAATGTGCAATTTCGTTCTGCGTGATCTCATTTTCTGTCTCTTACTCTTTCTCCGTCTGCTTACATACTGTACAAGTTTTAGAGCAGCACTGCGTTAAAATGGACCCCCTCTATCCAGAAGGGCTGGTTTTGAGTCTGGTGGCAGGATTATTGCCCTGTTCTGTTTGTCTCACAAATTGTATTCGCCTTGTCTCCACAAGGAACCAACCGGAGAGCCTGTCCCTAAACGACCGCGGGGAAGACCTAAAGGAAGCAAAAACAAGGGCCCTTCAAAAGCCGCTCAAAAGGTGAGATTCCAGCAGCTTCTGCATGTTGCCATTCCTCCACTACACATCGGTCTTCAAGTCATTCCAATCACACAACAAGACAGCAGTTTGAGATGCTTCATTTTCACCTGTGCTAACAGAAACAGACCAGCCTTTTCTCTTTCCATCTGTAAGCCTGAAAATAAAGTTGTGTTCAGCTGGAAGGCTATGTTGAATGCCTCGTTAATTGTAATTTAACTAAATCAGAGCAAATATAGAAATATATATATATTTCTATTGACAGTGCAGGGGGTTCATTCTCATAATCTGTCACAATTTGACCCTGCCTGTCTTCTCTTGTCTCAAATGCATTTGAAAGGTGTGTACAGTCGTGTCTCTTTTTGATGTTATATCTTATTTTTTTAGAGAAATAGATAATTAAAAAAAATATTTGTATATCTTGTGATTTAGTAAGAAGGTTTATACCATAATTAAAATGTCTGACCCTACAAGTGTGTTTACCTTCACATTCATCACTGTGTATTACTTTACTGTGATTCCCATTTTATTTTTTGGTGTCGTAAATCAAAAGCTGAAGTTTGAGAAATAATTTAGATTTAATGTTAATATATAAAATCTAATGTACAAAAATGCATATACATCATAGTTTGTATGTTTCCTTCCTAACACTGTAGGAAACGGGGGTGGGTTGCAATATGTGAGCTTAGCTGTAAAATGTAATGGTTAAAGCACTATGTTAGGTCTAATTTACTCGTTCCATTGGTTGCATCAGTAGAAAGCACTTATTCAGGGTTACTTACCTTTTATTGATAAATTCCTAAAAGGATGGCACGAGAAAGTACTAAGGTTTTCCTTATAAGAACAATGTTCATGATCTTATATTTTGTAGTGCAGTGTATGAGGCTGCCTGCTTGATGTCTTAATTAGACATATTGAATGTTTTGCCTTTGAGTGGTCAGGGTGCTGGATCAGCACAAACCACAGTCTGGCAAGATCAAAAGCAGTGCTGCATAAAAATATACACCCTCCAGGCTAGGTCGCTGAATGGGAATTGTAAGTTTTGTTGCACGTATGCCTGAAAAAGTAACCCGTCTTAGCATGCCAGTATCCTTAGTATGTTGTGTGATCTATAAAATAAATATGTATTTGTTTTTGTTTTGTTAGACTGTTTGCATTAAATGCTAAATTTTGTTCCTCTTATGT